CTCCGTTAGGAAAAATAAGGTGGGCAGCATGGGTTAGGGGTTTGGGCATAAGCAGGGAGCCAAGGACCATCGCTGGAGATGCCCAGATATCTGGGTGTGTTCCTCACCATGCTCCCAAATCCATAAAACAGTGACAAGTTTTCCTAGCACCAAAAGAAGCTAAGGAGACCCCCGTTCTAACCCCACATCCCTCCCCATGAAGAGCCAGGGGAGTCAGTGCTCCATCGCTGCCTGCCCAGCCAGCGAGCAGGGCTGACACACGATCAGGGTGACACTGGAGACCTTCTAGGACGGGACAGCCTCGCACATAGTGGGCTGCAGCTGATAGTGCCACCGAGTTAACCCCCTGGAAGAGGGTCTCTGGAAAAGGGTCGCAGGTTTAGGGGGCTCAGCTGCTCCTTGGGGGCCAGGTCGGAGCAGACGCCTGGGGCTTCGTGCCAGGGCAGAGCCATAAACCACCCCTGGAGCCGAGCCAGGGGCTGCCGAGAGCGGCTGGAGGCCGTGCACTGGGGCAACGCAGGGCTCACTAACACATACCAGTGCAGACAGTTCCAGAGTGGCTGGGGCTGTGCGAACTCCCCCTGCACCGCAGGAGGTCACTGAGCAGGGCTCCACGTCCCTGAGCCACTGCTCCCCCCTAATATCAAAGCAGCCGGGGCAAGGGGGGATAGGCAGGATGCAAAGCTGCCAGCCATGCAACCATGTGCTCACATGCCACTGAAGGTCTGGAGAGAATAATTTAAAAAGCAATGAATGTGGGAAAAAAAAATCTCTGTTTAGGATGAAAATGGCACAGTCTCACTTCCCTGCCCCCCCAGCCCTCCCTGATTCACCAGGGCAGAGGGACAGAATGACTTAACCCCACTGGGGTGCGATTACAGGGGGAAAGGACCCCAATAATCCCTTATTGTCTGCATTTCTTCTTGGTGGAACGATGACAAATGCTGGTTGCTCTGCAGCCTGCAGGTACGTGGTCCATCACCCCTGCTCATCCTCAAACGAGGTAGGGAGGCGGTCCTGTCTGGGTATCTTCAAAGGATGGGAAGAATTAAACGGGATTGATGAAAACGGTGCCCCTATAGCATTCACCTCTAACGACACCAGCTCCCTGCAGACGGCTGGCAGCACCCTCTGCTCAGCCCTGCCAGCAGCCGGACAGGACAATGCCCGACTGCATCAAAGGCGACAGCTTCAGCTCCTGGTGCACACCCCCCCGGCAGCGAGAGCCCGCTGTCAGCAGCATCACATCTCCTGTTCCAGCCCGCTTCTGAGCTCCAGTATAATTAGTGATGAATGTAATGTCAGCAGCATCACATCTCCTCTTCCAGTATAATTAGTGATGAATGTAAATAACACAAACAACCAGGTAAATAATGCAAACAAATCATACCACTGCCCTACGATCCTCTGCTGTCACCCAGATACTGTGATGACAGATGTGTTAGGAGGACTCGGTGTAAAAGGCCAGGGACATTAAATCAGTGCACAGCACCATGTGGGAGACAGGCCAGTGAAAACCTAGTGTTTCTTTTTTATGCCAACAGTATATCTGATGGTTTCTGCTGGAACAGGCACTGGAAACAAAAACAGGGACGGGAAAAAAGTTTGCAGCATTAATTCAGAGGTCAAATTCAGCCACGCAGGAGCTTTGCTACCAGAGGCAGCAGTCACAAGCCAGCGCTATCTTGACTCACTCAGGGCCTGTTCCTGCTTCCCTGGCCACAGTCCCACGGACACTGCTCCTTCTGTCCCATCCCAGGCCCCTTCCCACCATGCTTCCCCTGCCCTGGGCACCCGAGGAGTCGGTGCTGCTCCACATCACCCCATTTCACCTTTCCTGGTAAAGCACACTTCTGCATTTATTTTCCCCTTTCTTGTGGTCTGCTGATCACACGCTAATTGTTTCCGCATGCAAGTTAATTGAAACCACTGTTTTCTCCTAGCGTCCTAGAGACCAAACTGCAGTGTCAAAAGTAAGTTGCCTTTAGGCTGCTTTGCTTGGAAGGGTGGTTTTTCCCCCATATAGATGTATAAACAGTTACTTGTACAGCAAAGCCTAGCTTTGGGCCGGATCCTGGATATGCAGGATGCTCGTCTGCATTAGCAGTGAGATTTTGTTTTTTCCAGTAAGACTTGACTGGGTCAAGCAATTGGAATCAAAAGCACAAATGTGTCCAAAAAATTAGGCCTTCTTCACAGCAGAGAGAAAACTTACAGGTGAAAGCCAAACAACTAGGTATTTACTCATAGCTTAGGTTGCAAAAGGATGAGTTCCTTCGTGCTGTGCCTTCCACAGCCCCAGTCACCATCCACTTTACCTATGGAGGGCTCCGAGCTGTTTGCTGGTGGCAGCAGCAGACAAACACGTATATTCAGCTTGGATACCCAAGAGAATATACCACAGTGTTACTGTCTCTGCCCAGCCACACCAGGAGATGTGAACTCCTTGGCTGATTGCAATCAAGCTTACAGAAGGCAAGCTCTTTAAGCCATCAGCCTCCCATAGTTTTCATAGAAATGGGTACTTGGCAGCTGAGAGAAAACGCAGACAGCCCATGCAGTGCCTGAGCTAACCATACCATGAGCCCCCTTCTTGTTAGACACCAAAAATCTACACATGATTCCCAAAAGCTTCACTGCAAATCTGGGCTTTATTTAGCCACCAACCTCAGCCAGCCACAAGATAAAACATACTCAGAGGGTTGTCTGTCATTTGTCAATGTGTTTTAAAGCACGAAGTTTTTATGTGTGTGTGCATGCATATAAAATACATGAAAAGTTAAAGTCTATTTGAAAACATTAGAAATCAGCTGCATCTCCCTGAAACTCACAGGCAGCCCAACCATGACCTAAAGCTTCCTAATGACCTGGCAAGAGCCGTATGTTCCCAGAACCCTCTTCCTTGCGTGGCTGGCTTCCAGGGGGCTTGGGAATCACGTCCCCTACTCAAGGGACGACAGATTTCCAAAGTCTTTACAGATGTTTATCTTGGCAACCTCAAATCTGAATATTAACAGGTCCAGTTAGCAGCCTGGTCACATCTGGGTCTGGGAGATGGCTACTGCGTACAGGAAAGACAAAACAGGAGTGGGTCCTGCGAGTCCTACACACGTGACACTGGCTGGTGATTCCCACCTTGGCTTCGAACGTAGCTTTCTGTGTTCCTGTATCATCAGAAAAGCTCACGTGTTGAATGGACGTGATGGCCCAAAGCGAGGAGCAGTCGCGGGGCACCACAGCAGAGCCCTCGGGACGTGCGTCTGGCTGGGTCTTGTGGGGCTCAGCTCAGCACTGCCCAGGGTGGCTTTGGCAGGGAACATCCTCACAGATTGAGGCTAAATTGCCAGCTTCGGGTGGCACCAGGGATCACGCAGATGGCACGTTCCTGGGTGCGGGACAGCAGCCTGGGAAGCGCTATGCTGACAGAAGCTGTATCTTACATATCCTTACTGGAAAAAATGTGGGCTCGTCTTTCCCTCTCTTCTGTCCCAAGTTTTCAGTCCAAGATCTACTCAAATTCAAACTCCTACATCAAGTTTTTCCTCTTGAAATTCTCTACAACATTAACTTGAAATCCAGTCGCCCTGCACCTTACAAGACGCATTTCAGGATGTGGCCATGCAAATGCATAGAAGACCTTTTGACCTCCAGAATGCAAGTCCCAATGACAGCCGTCATGGACAATGACCTGATCGCTGCTCATTACTCATCAGAGCGCATCTTACACGTAACCTACATGTCTTACGGCCACCTGTGCAGCTTCTGCGATGCACGAGTGCACACGTGTGTGTTAGCCCCAACTCTCACTGCGGGGGTGCAAGCTGCACAGCTCAGCGTTTAACCATCCTGCGCCCACGGGGCAGAAAACGTAAGGAGCTGGAGGGATGAATCAGTTTGTGTCTGCACCTACAACCTCAAAGGGCACAAACAAAATGTCAACTTCGATACTGTACTCCCAGGCCTACAGTTAGCCCCGTACCCAGGCAGCTCATTGAGAAATACGTATGTCAAAGCAAACCCTGACAGCCAGTCTTGAATTAGTCCATTTCTCTGGTCTCTATAAACCCGATGCTTTTCATACTGAAGATTTATACCATTACAGTTATTTTTCTTTACAAACTGACTCCTGTCCTAGATAAATATAGATGCAATTCTGATCCATATTTTGAAGGGTATTTCTTTCAAATCACCCTCTCTATTTAGCTATCCTAAATATGGCAGCCTGGAACATTACAGTACTGAAGAGCTACAGAATTACTTGCACAGAGATTCTTGCAATGCTTCTAACCCCAAAATTGCCACTAATGCAAGAACACAATTAGACTGAGCACAACAAATACCTAACTACATGGTGCATTTGTGTACTAGAGGGATTGAGAGTTTCCAAGTAATCAAAGAGATTTATTCGAGGGAAAGACGTGTGGCTGTGTATTCTAAACAGCTTCGATGAACTCAACCGAAACGGTTCCGCACGGTAGATGTCCAGGCAGCCTGTCAGGGGCACACAAGCACAGGCAAAGCGTGCTACGATGCTGTGGGCGGCTTATATCCGACGTGAAAACATTCACAACTCTCTGCCAGTGAGCAAGCGAACGGCTCGGTCACACACCAGCGAAACGTTTCTGGTTTGGTTCAGCGATGAACTGCAACAACCAGGCCCCGAGGAACCACAACTCAGACTACACAAGTCAAGTTGGTTCATGTTAGCTATCGATACGGACACTCGAGAGCAGCTCCTGAGCGAGGGATGGCAGGGGCAATGCTCCCACTGCTCCCCCCTCGTGCCCGCAGACGGCAAGCCGTACACGCCGCACCCGATGGTGAAAATCAGGGCACGCACAGACGTTTAGGAGGTGGTTGCCCCTCAAGCGCTGTTTCTTGACTGAAGCACCCCAATGGCTCACTGACCATTGTGCCTGTCCTGGACCTCACTGGTGGGGACAGGATCAGGTCACCCCTTCAGCAGGGACAACACGCAGCCTCTGCCACCGCGGAATGGGCGTCCTGCTGTCCATCCCCCTCCCAGCCCCGCCGGAGTGACCCTTACCTCCATCAGCATACGTCTCGGTGCCGTAGCCATCCTGCAGGCCATTATTCCAGGTACCTTCCACTGCTCATGCTCTGCCTCGCGCCGTACCGTCCCTTAAAGCCATGGGTCCACTCGCCTCTGTAAACCCACCGTCCTTTGGTCTCGATTCCTAGGCCATGCCTCTTGCCTTGGGACCAGTAGCCCTCGTAGGTGTTGCCACTGGGCCACGTGTAAATG